AGCAATGGAAAGAAACAGCTTCTTTGAAAACTGACATTCAGTTTTCCACCTGCTGATATGAGGTTGTGTGGACCTCGAACGAGACAAGTCATTCTTGTCTTACATGATAAGCGTGATTGCAGGCTTAGTTAGTTACCTCCGGCCCCAATATTTGACCTTGATACAGATAGGTCAGATAATAGAGTGAATTCTACATTTCCTCGTTAGTGGGTTGGGACACCGCAGCACACCCTCTCTGCTAGCCGTTGTGTGCATTTCAGAGGTCAGTTCTGTCTCTCTAATCTTCCTTCGCTGGGTGTTATTGGCACGGCTAAATAATACTCTAAGAGCTTTGCAAGTGGCACCGGACTTGGTTTGATCTTTTGTTTCCAAGGCTAATTATTGTGGATTTTAAAACATTTTCCACCAGCTAGCCCATCTCTGTGAGGGAAACAGTACAACAAACACACTAAAGAAAGGACTGCCGATTTGGACTATTTTTCTAATGATCATGACAAGTGCACTGGCTGACCCGACAAGAGCTCCTCAACCCCTGCTTGGCTAATCTGAGCCAACTGTGTAAATCCCTTTCCAGCCCTTGGTTTTAAAATGGTCAAGTGACCCAATCCTTGCTGACGAAGCTCAAAGAGAAATCAGCTGGTGAGCTCCTGCAAAAGGTTTCTTCCTTCCTAAAAAGGGTTACAAAATAAATAAATAAATAAAAATAAAAACATAGTATAATTTAATTCAATTATTAATCTAGAGGCAATGCCTCGTTTCCTGCAAGAGCAACTTCACATCAGACCACCCTGCTTCCACAGAACGTTTACCTGGGGGTCTTTCAAGAAAGAGGGCAAGTATAAAACTCAGTACTACCCTCTCACCTTTCAGAGCTGTGCCTGAGTCTACCTGCCCCCAACCTGTGTTATCACCATGAGAACAAGTTTAGAGACAAAAATATAATGGGTCAAAGAAATTTCACCAAGCCACTGAAAATCCTTTAGATCATAGATAAATTAGCAACATAGGTAACTGGCTACCTTATGAATAAGGGCCCCCTATCTAGAATAGAAGAATAGTGGGCACTCCCTCCACTCCCCAAATATTCCTTCCCTACAACCTAGGGATTGCCTTAAGTTCTCCATTTAGAGATCTACCCTTTTGAGCTGATATAATTACTATTAAATTTAAATGCCCATTTAGGGGGTCATACGTTAAGCCTCACTAATCATTAAATATTCAGTATAAGCTCATCAGATTTTTCATGACAGCAAAATTTAAGAGGGGGAGTTAGAAAGAGAATACCATTACAGCCAGTACTTGGGGTCCAAGAAGGGAGGAAAACATGAAAACAAAGATCAGGAAAGGTGAAGTGAGGGCTTTGGAGACAGTCTATCTGCTTTGCAATTCTTCCATGAGAACCCATCACTCATCCTTCAGTTTGTGGAGATCAGGTGACAAGTAATGATCTTCTCAAGCCGGGAGGACCCCAGGTTCCCCCTAAGAACCTGGCAGGGCCAACAATAGTTGTCTCCAAGGTGAACATCAACCCAAAAGCCTCAGTATCCCTCTGGAGCTACATGATTCGCTGGGCCAGCCAGGAGGAAGGGGAGACCAGCAGCCTGTGAGATTAGCCAGCTCCATCCCAGCACTCAGTGATAGAGGTGGAAGTCAGATGACCTTTACATCCAGATACCAGGCGGGTCGAACATCCCCTTAACGCTCTACCTCCCACTGTCTGGAACCGGTCATTTCACTTTGAACACCAACTAGATATAAAATTATAGCGCAGAGCCACCAAGTAACCTTACACAGTACTGGATTTATATGAATAGCACTGAAGACAAGCAGAACGTCTGTCATTATCTTTGCAAAGACTTCAGAGTTCCTATTGCAGAAGTTTTTTACAAAGATTAAAACCATTGCAAAAATTGAAAAAAAAAAAATCCCTATTTTCCAGATTGTTAAACTGAGATATAAGAAAGTTGCCACGGTCATAAAGTTTACCAGAACCAAACTCACAGTTAACCCTCTATCCTTAGAGACCCTTTCCACCCAGAGCTGCCGCTTCCTCCTCTGTTCCCCCAAGGCCTCCACCGACTTGGGAAGTGTTGAGTTTTAATGGAGCATCAGATCCTCTCTTCTTCCCCTAGAGAGACTCAAGCTAAGATTACCTCCAGTCCAGTGTTACATGGCACCTTTAAGTTTTAATTTTACATTTTTTTACTACATTCAGGAGGTAAAAGTCAGAACAGCATACAAGGGATAGCTCGTAAATAACTCCTTCACCCCTGCTTCCTCTCTTGACCTCCAATCCCCAGGTCCCCTTGCGAGAAACAATTATCCATTTCTCGAGCATCCTTCTGAATATGAACAGTGTATATATAAGTAGATAAAACACATAGCCTGTTTTGCTCTTTAAATTACAGAACCGCACAACAAATTCCCAGAAATGTAATTTGCGCAGAATCTTAGAGGAACACGACATATGTGTTAGAAACGCCTAACATCCAGGTAGGCTTGGGGGAAGGAACCAGGTTTCTCACAAGCATTTCAAACCAGAAAAGAGACACCACACACTCCTCATCTTTAGATCTGCCATCTTTTCTAAACCCATGTTTAGCCCGTACATACTCCAGAAACAACAGTGTTTGTAGAAGTACAACACACTGATTTAAAATAATATATTGTCATCTGTATGGAAACTATTTTTTAAGCCTCGAAAGGAAGCCCAAACTCTCATAACCCAGGATCTAATGAGCAAATGCATATTCATTCTATCCACACACTTCATTATTTTGTAGACTTCTATCCTATCCACCACCCCCCCACCAAACCTTTGTCCTTCTGAACCAAGAAGACTTCTTCACAACTAACCAAATGAGAAAAACACTGCTCCTGATGGTTCACAGAAGTTGCCAGAGATGGTATGTCCCAGCTTCAGGCAACTTGAACCTTCTCTGTTTTTAAAATCAAGCAGGTGACAGGTTTTGCTAAAACAGAGCATGAGCGACCATGCATGCAGTAACTAAATCCCTATTTCGACCTGGAGGTCAGGCTATTCCACATTTTGGACTAATAGCAATAATAACCAGCTCTGCAACTGGATACTCAACAGAGTTCAAGAAACAGATGGGAAAGTTATCTATGTTCAAATCTCTGGCAAACTCCCCTTAGTTTAGAGGGAATATAATCCAGTCGTCTGTACGACTAAATCCAATACCTCTTTCAACACTAATTCATATACACAGTGTGTTGGCAATGACTTGTAGCAATGATGAGTGGCATTTTACAAGAGTGAGCTGCCCAGAGGAGAGACACATCCCTAAGTGGCAGACGTAAAAGTAGTTAAAAAAAAAAAAAGTAGAAGAAAAATAATCACACATCACTGCTTCATCACAGTAACATTGAAAAACTGAGCTCTTAATACCAAAAGGAATGTAACGGTGCACAAAGATCTTAACTAGAGCCAGTACAGATGGTTCCGTCTGGACTTAAAGGTCATAGTCACAGGTAGCAGGATCTCAAATCCTAGTCCGTGATCACACAAGTGCAAGTCACAGGCTGAAAGGAAACCTGTATGGCTGCGCATAATTCATGCCACCAGCGGAAAGACAGGCCCAAAGCTATGGCATGACAGCTGCTGGGTGAGACATTTTCACATTTTAAGTACAAAAGAGAAGAGCCCCCCCACCAACACAAAGCCCATGTCAGTAGAAACACCTGGAGCACCCAATCACCAGAAGACATTTGAGGACCAAGGTGCTCTAAGCTCTGTGCTGACAACAGGAAGCACATCTGGGCCCTCAATGCAAACGCAGCCCACGTGGTCTCCTCAGGGAAAGCCTCAGTGAGCAAAACCCAGATCACAGTACACATCTGGCTTTCGCCCCAGCATGAACTACCTACCACTCCCTCTCCACCCCGCACAAGCCATTCTCAGCCATTGCAAGTGCCTTGGTGGGAATCACAGGGAGGCCCTCATCCCTTTTCCCAAAATAACGTCAACCAGAGGCAAAGGCCAAGGAGGGAGGTGGAGCCTACAGGCCATTTTGCAAAAGTTTCAAATATCCTGGCACTGACCCCCTTAGAAAAATCATGAAGGGGAAACAGCCAAGCTTCTCGTTTTCTCATTAGTGATCTCTCTCTCTGTCTCTCACTCTCTCTCTCCTCATTACAAACTTTTGCATTTATAAGAAACAAAAAACAAATAGATCTCACATAAAATCATATTAACATTGCTGGCTGTTGGAAACAATTTCATTTCGCAAATGTAATACCAATGATTTGAAATTGAAACTTTTAAAACAAATGGGCAGAATTCCTGTGACACGTCAATCCCCAAAGGGGTCCCTGAGGCATAAGACTGAACAAAGAACTGGTGAGCCGTCCCACCTTCCCCAAAGCTTTTCTGCAATAAGCAGCTGCCTCAGATTTTCCATACTCTGTGATCTTTCCCCTGAAGAGAGAGGAAGCAGACTGCCTGGCTGTACAGTTAAAGAGCCCAAATAAAGCAGTCTCTCTCCTCATATCAAACGGGCTTTTCCAAACACACACACGCACACACACGTGTACTTCCTGAAATATGAACAAAAAGTAAAGAGAGAGAAAGAGTCTGACAGCGAAAGAAAGAAAATGCCACTTTGTTTAGCTTTTTAAAAACCTTCCCACCAAGTCAGTAGCAAGCTCAACAGTGGCGCATCATTCTCCACCACGACCCCCTTCGGCTTTACAGTACCGACAGCAAGAGCAAATGATACTACGATGTGAAAAAGACTCGGGAAAAGACTATACATTGCCAAAGAAATACAAACTGTCACTACTGTTACCGAAACTTGAAAAGGGCCAGGGGCCCGCAGTTATCTCTTCGGATTGAAAAACCACACCTCTCCCTAGATCTCCTCTGGGCATGCCTGCCTCTTCCCAAAGACTTCCTTCCCACGTCCCTGCCCCCAGCAGTTCCCTTATTGACAGTACTTCTCCCTCGCAAGCTGCCCGGTCCCCGTCCCGCGAGTCCTCACCGTAGGGTACATTAGAGCCTCGGTTTCCCCGGGCTCTGACAGCTCGCTCAGCTTGCGGTCCCACTGCAGGACGCTCTGCTCCCCGCTCTCCAGCACCTCCATGCTGGTCCGAGGGACGCTGGGCCGAGGATGCTGAGGGCAGGAGGGGAGCGGGCAGAGCCGCCTCGGAGGGTAAGGTCCGGCTCCGCGGGGTGTGTGCGCGTGTGTGGGTGTGTGCGCGTGTGCGTGAAGCTTATGCACTTAGGAAGAAACGTTCTCTGCTCTGCCCGAGGGAGAAGTGCTAAGGGCTCCCGTCCGGGGTCCTCGGAAGTCTGAGAAGTGCCGGGGGAGACAGGCTGTCCAGGGATCCGGCTGAAGGCTGCAGGGGTTAAAGCAGGGAGCGCATCCAAAATGAAGGCAGGAGAGCAGCTCTCATCCCAAGAAAATCCCTTCGCAATAAGCCCACTCTCCGCTACTGCTCCAGACACAAACTTTGAGGCTCCCCAGGGCTCCTCAGTTCGGCTCCAGGACCCAGCTATGACCCACCTCCCTCTAGGGAAGCGACCAATCGGATACTCACCTCGCCCGCCCTATCCAATCAGAAGTCTGGCTTTCCTCCCCGTCCCGCTCCGAAAGGCTGGGCAGAGGGAAGTCTCTGCCCAGGCTTTGGAATGTGGGCGGGGAGAGCCTTTGACGTCACCGGGGAACTCCTTCTGCCTGAGCGCAACCAGCCACTGCTCTCTGAAGCAGCGGACCAATGGAGTGCTTGAGTCTGGGAGTGATGGACTGAGAGCTTGGCCAGTGATAAAGGGGCGCCTGGGAGGAACAGCCAACCAAATAGCGACAAGAATACATTTCATAAAGGAGGGCGGGTGAACTCCGTACCTCCGGCTAGAATCCATAAAAGTTCTCCGCGCTTGTGGAGGGGAAGAGAGCCGCTGTGTGGGCAGATTTATATACTGTCTTAAATATTATATATGTTTATATAGGGTCTTAAATATTTTCTTAATGTATATTAGCTCATTTGAGTTTCGAAATTTTTTAAAAAATTAGTTACGTATTCACAAATATAAATATTACGCACTGTGCGTGAATTTGTATTAGCACATTTCTAGCAAATAGTCATTGTCTGTTCCTCACATTTTTCTCCCTAGTTCTGTTATGCTCTTCTCCTGACACGTTTTTTTATGGGCTTCATGTTTTCTTCTTTCAGTTCACTCTACAGACATTATTGATAAAAGTCAATGGCTTGCTTTACCAGGTCCTCAAGAGCTGTGAGTTATGACTTTGAATTCGGGGACACCAGGTGGCTCAGTAAGTTCATCGTCTGCCTTTGGCTTTGGTGCCAGGATCCCGGGATCCAGTCCTGCACCCTGGGATATTGCCCTGCATTGGGCTCCTTGCTCAGTGGGGTGTGTGCTTCTCCGACTGCCCCTTCCCCTCGTTCTCTCTCATACATAAATAAATAAATAAATAAATAGATAGATAGATAGATAGATAGATAGATAAATAAATACATAAATACATAAATAAATAAGACCTTGAACTCACAGAACTTAGATCTCCGTGGAGTCAGGCAATAAACAAAGGAAAAAAGGCATAATGTAAACTCTTTTTTTTTTTAAGATTTTATTTATTTGAGAGAGAGAGAGAGAGAGCACACATGGGGGAAGAGCAGAGGGAGAAGGACAACCAGACCCATGCTGAGCCCAGAGCGCCACTAGGGGCTCCATCCCATGATCCCAAGATCATGACCTGAGCTGAAATCAAAAGTCAATGAATAGTGGCATGATGTACTTTCAGAAAGGGGTAACTGGTATAAAGAAAATAAAAGCAAGGTAAGGGTATGAGGCAGTTCTGTGCTATTTTAGATAGCACTCAGGGAAGCTCCTTCTTGGAAAATGACATTTGAGCAGGGACCTGGATGAAATGAGATTTGGGGAGGCGCTGGTGTTTTGCTGACTGACAGGGAGGCCCATATGGTTGCAGCAAGACTTGCCAGGTAGTGAGTGATGGGAGAGGAGGCCTGAGAGATGGGCAGGGACCAGATCACCAGCCTGCCTAGATTAGGGAAGAGAGAGCCTATTCTAAAAGTCTTCCCCCAGCACTGTGATTTTTCTTTCTTTCTGGACTCCTCCCTTAAGGGAAACAAAGTTGTTGGAAATATAATTTGCTCATTTTGTTTTTAGCATTTTTTATTAGTTTGCTCATTTTAAATATAAAGGAGTCTGCCAATTGTCTCAAGTTTCTTACAATGGCACATTCAGATATTATGTATTATTTCCTCTCCTTTGCAAGTGTTTCCCAGTGAGTGGGGTCAGTCAAAGATCTTGGAACTCTGTGGTCTTTAAACAGTGGATTATCATGTGAACTATTCCATTTGTCTGGTCCTATCTCATGGGACTTTTGAGAATACTTTAAAACTTGAGTAGAAATTCCAGTTTATGGGCAGGTACCATCTTTGTGTAATAGGTTTCTCACTCTTCTCTTGGTCCTTGGTTTTCATTTTTTAATCTGCTGCCCCCTTCACCACATCCTTTTAGCATAACTCTCAACATAAATAAGTTAGAAACATGTACATTCTCCTTAATGTTGGAATACAAACCTTTATCTATCAAACATTTCTGCTTTTCACAAAATCAGCCCCTAGTTATGACTCATGTGGTAGGCAGCTTCAAAGATAGCTCCAAATATTCTTCTTCTTGGTGTTTATACCCTCGTGTAACTCCCTAACCTTCAGTGTGGGCTCGACTTCCTTCAAACACATAGGATATGGCAAAAGTAATGGGCTTTCAAGAAAGATTCTGGCTCCTCACTTGCTTGACCTCTCTTCCTCGCTTGCTTGCTTGCTCCAAGGAAAACCAGCTGCCATGCTGTGAGCTGCCCACATAGCAAGGAACTGAGAAAAATGTCCAGCCAATAGCCAGCAAAGAACTGAATCCCTCAGTCCAACAACACTTGAGCAGCCGCATCCTGCTAATAACCATGTGAGTGACCCTGGGAACAGATTCCTACCCCCAACCCCAAGTTGAACCTGAAGATAACTGTAACGTTATCAGAGACCCTGAACCAGGGGACTCAGCTAAGCTGCACCCAGATTCCCAGCCTACATATACTAATACATATAATACATATAATACATGTATGTTGTTTTAAGCCACTAATTTTTTTCTTCCTAGGTAATATAATAGTTGGTACTCTAAATGTTTGATGAAATATACCTGTACTCCAAAAATACTGTTACAATCCCTAATGGTGAGTTTTTTCATCCTCCTTTGTTTCATGTTTCCTTCTTCCATTCAGTGTACACAAGACTTCACACTAGCTCATTTCTCGTTCTACACTTGAGTCTAGCATCTGTCCCTTTCCATCTCATTCTTAGGACTGAGCAAGTGTGATGACTTTTTTCCCCCCTCAGCTCTCTGCCGTCCTTAAAAAGCAGCAGCACTTACTTCCCTGTCTTTTTTCTTTTCTTTTCTTTTCTTTTTCGAGATATAATTGACATATAACATTAATTTCAGATGTACAACGTAGTGACTCAATATTTGTATATATTGCAAAAAGATGACCATAATGTCTGGCTGTAGTCAACATGATGTATGCTACATTCCCAGGACTTAATTATTTTATAACTAAGGGGTTGATACCTTTTGACTGATTTCACCCATTCTGCCTACCCTCTCCTGCCTGTGGTAGCCACCAATCTGAACACTTTGTATCTATACATTCAGTTTTTTGTTTTTATTTTTATATCCCATATATAAATGAGATCAGATGGTATTTATCTTTCTGTCTGACTTATTTCACTTAACATAACACCCTCAAAGTCCATCTATGTTGTTGCAAATGGCAAGATTTCCTCTTTTATGGATAAATAATATTCCATTGTGTATATATACCACATTTTCTTTATTCATTCATCCACTGATGGACACTTGGCTTACTTCCATGTCTTGGCTATTATAAATAATGCTGCAATGAACATGGGAATGCAGATAGCTTTTCTAGTTAGTGGTTTTCTTTCCTTCAGGTGAATACCCAGAAGTGGAATTGCTGGGCCATATGATAGTTCTATTTTTAGTTTTTTGAGGAACGTCCATACTGTTTTCCATATTGCCTGCACCAATTTACATTCCCACCAATGGTACACAAGGATTCCCTTTTCTGCACATCCTCACCAACATTTGCTGTCTGTTGTCTTTTTGATAATAGCCACTCTCACGGGTTTAAGATGGTATCTCATTGTGGTTTGCATTTGCCTTTCCCTGATAGTGATGTTGAACATCTTTTTATGTATGTATGTATGTATGTATATTTTAGACAGAGAATGCGTAAGTGCAGGGATCAGAGGGAGAGGGAGAGGGAGAGAATCTTAAGCAGGCTTCACACTTAGCACAGAGCCTGATGCACGGCTCCATCTCATGACCCTGAGATCATGACCTGACCCGAAATTAAGAGTTGGAGGCTTAACTGACTAAACCACCCAGGCACCCCTGTTCTTGATATATTTTGGATATTAACCCCATATCAGGTATGTGATTCGCAAATATCTAATGCCATTTGGTAGGTTGTCTTTTTGGTTTAATGTAGCCCCATTTGTTTACTGTTGCTTTCATTGCCTTTGGTTTTGGTGTCAAATCCAAAAAATCATTGCCAATAACAATGTCAAGGAGATTACAACCTATTTTTTTTAAAGATTTTATTTATTTATTTGACAGAGAGAGATCACAAGCAGGCAGAGAGGCAGGCAGAGAGAAAGGAGGAAGCAGGCTCCCTGCTGAGCAGAGAGCCCGATGCAGGGCTCGATCCCAGGACCCTGAGATCATGACCTGAGCTGAAGGCAGCGGCTTTAACCCCACTGAGCCACCCAGGCGCCCTGTCAACCTATGTTTTCTTCTAGGATTTTTTGGGTTTCATGTCTTACATTCAAGGTTTTATTCCCTTTTGAGTTAATTTTTGTGTATAGTTTAAGACAGTGGTTTTGTTTCATTCAGACATGTGGCTGTCCAGTTTTTACATCACCATTTATTAAAGAGACTATCCTTTCCCCATTGTATATTCTCAGCTCCTTTTTTATAAGTTAATTGACCTTATATGATTGGTTTCTTTCTGGGTCTCTATTCTGTTCCACTGATCTGTCTGTTTTTATGCCAATACTATGCCTTTATAATACAGTTTAAAATCAAGAAGCATGATGTCGGGGCACCTGGGCGGCTCAATGGGTTAAGCCTCTGCCTTCGGCTTGGGTCATGATATCAGGGTCCTGGGATCGAGCCCCGCATCGGGCTCTCTGGTTGGCAGGGAGCCTGCTTCCTCCTCTCTCTCTCT